GTCAATTAATTGAAATTTTGGCAAAAATGTTTATTAATTGGGTGGAAAGACCTAGGTCGATAGCTGTTGAAATCTATTAAGGTAACTTTTTTGTTGATATTCATTAAGTGACATACATCTGAACTGTACCGCTGAAGAAAATGAAAACCGAAAAATTGCATTACAAAACTGGCTGTATTTTGTTCCTGTTTTATCGGCATCATTGGCTCAAAAGTAGTAATCTTACGAATGAGGAAAATAATATAATGATCCAAGAAATAATGTCATAAACATTCTTGCACAAATCAATAATTTAAAATACTTTTGAGTAAGATAAAAATGGAAAAATACGTCCCTTTTACAACTTGATTTATTTTATTTGTTGGTATTTTTTGACATTTAGACGCAAACGACTCTAAAATGTCTCAAAAATCGAATGTCTCAATAAATTTGGAATTGAGTCAGAGTTTTCGCTCTTCAAATGTAATTATGTGGATGAGGTTAGTGGGAAGAGGACGTGTTAACAAGAAACATCGACTCATTATAAAATTCAGAGGTTTCGTCGTTTATTATATGTCTTTACCTAGGCCGAAAATACATATTTCATATAAATAATGGTACAACTTATGAGGTTTACATACTAATCAACATTTTGGTACCGTAGAATGGGGCTATTCGGGAAATGAGGGGTTTTTGAGAATTTGCCTAACTAATGTTAAAAGCGTCAAGACAGCCCCACGAGGTTAAATAAAATTTGAAAACACTCCAGGAGTCAGTTAATAGACATACTAATGTGAATGTGAGTGGATCTCGACGGTCGGAAAATGTTTAGTTTCGGTGCGTAAAGACATCATATAAAACACGTGTGATTTGTTGGAAGAATGGTAAGTAGTTAATTTTCTCCTATAAATCTAAACCGATTAATTGCATGGTATTGGGGGGTTAATCTAATTAATTATAACGGGTTTTAGGAAGGTGTGTTTCCGATACATACATTTTAGAATTTTTCTGTTTTATTTTATTCAGTATTTTCTAAAATGGGGTAATTTGAGAATTCATTGGGGGCTATTTGAGAATCGTTAGCTATCGCTTTTATTTTTTAGGTAATGGTGCATAACTATAAAAGAACATTAAGCCATGTAAGAAACAGCAAAAATTACGTGCCCTATAGGCATTATTCAGAAAATGCCTTGGCCAGAGCGGTAGAGGCGGTAAAAAGAAGGCGTTTAACTTTGACTGAGGCCTTTGAGCGTTTTAAAATTCCCATCGCAACCATAAACAGACATGCTAGAGGGGTTAACGTTTTAAAAAAACGGGAAGACCTCCAATATTTTATACGGAAGAAGAGGAACGGTTTGTCAAATACGTAAATATTGTGGCAGCATGGGGATTTCCCTTCGACTTAATGGACCTAAGGCTGTTTGCAAAAAAATACTTGGATACAAAAGGTGTAAATGAGACTCGTTTAAAGGATAATTTACCTGGTAGAGATTGGGCTTTTGCTTTTCTTAAACGACATCAAAGGCTTATATCAAACCGTCTATCATTCAATATTTCTACAAAAAGGGCTTCACTTTCGCCAGAAGTTATTGATAATTTTTTTGATAATTCCAGAGATACGTTTTTTTGTTTTGTAAATAGCCCTTTCAGTGGGGAAATTGTGATTTATGCAATTTTAAGACATGTTTTCAAATAGCCCCACCCTATGGGGTAATTTGAAAAGGCACTAAAAATTTTTTTTTGGGCTCCCAAAAGAATGCGTCCTCAGTCCAATGTAGGTGATAAATTGCCCTATCATAGGTCTTTCCAATGTTACTATAAAATTGACCAGGTTTAGAATTGTTTTAAAGATATTACTAAAAATCCTTTAAAAAATTCTCTAATAGCCCCATTCTACGGTATATATACAACACATACAATTGAAATATAAAAAATTAACAAAACAATGTACATAAAAGACCTTACCTTATTAAATTAGTTAAAACTTGGCACATAGGCATATACGACAGTTACAGAAAAAGTTAAAATAATACATATTAAAATCCAATACTAGAAGGTTAAAAGACATTCTAAGTTACTTGAATCAATAGATTAACAATAAACAAGCCGAAAGGAAATTAAAATCGTTAGAAGATGTTCCCATACATGTTTCTAAGAAGAGAAGGAAGATGTATCCTTGCCCTTTGGTTTCACATAAAGACAATTGCTTAACTGTAATGATTCCTTTATATTTTAACAGTCGTTAAAATATTAACGATGGCATAGGTGTCTTAGGCGCTTGCATTCATTTGCAAGCAATTTTGTGGTTGAGAGACACACCGGCTGCGACTCCTACAGCAGACCATGTTCATTATAGGATGGATGTCGTATTAGCAGAAATTCTATTGATATGACATCCAGATTATAAAAATGGCCGTGCGTTATCGTTTCGATGATGATGGGTGGTGTTTTCCTCACCTGTAAGTCAAGTGGCAGCATCATTCATCTTTAAGTCTCCCCGAAGCACCACGGTAAATAATAATAATTTCCGTCCCTTCCCCAGACAAGCTCAGCTTTTGGGTTTAAAATTCACTCAAAAGGGGGTGAATTAGGGAGAGTATTATTATTATTATTATTAAAAATATTTTCCTATTCACTAACTTCTGTCAATATTTAAACGGAATCCTTTAAAATAGTCCAAAGGTATAAAACAGAATTATTTATTTCTAAACAACCTAACATTATTATTAACTTCTAAAAATGCAAAGAACAGGAAGATAACAGAACAAATAAAACAACAACAACAAAACAATTTTGTTTTTATCCTAAAGCCACTGAGTAAAACATATTTTGTATTTAGATAAGAATATAATTAATAGGAAATTATTAAAATATTTAATTTAATTTTTTTTAATGTTTAATGTTTGCTGGACAATAACGGCGTTTTGCTGTACAAGATCAAATGTTGGACGGGATTTGAAAATGGTGTACAATACAGCGAAATGCTGTATATATGGTCACTCTAGACAAAAAGTAAAATGACGTATGATTAGAGAAGATTTGAATAAAGAAATTAACGTAAAATGAAAAGAATATGAAATACATAACATTTTAAAATGTAATTAAGCTATATTACATTTAACATTGCAGGGCGGAATTAAAATTACATCTAATTAGTGACTAAAGCGATCCGTTCCACTTGCTTCGCTAAAGTGTAGCTAGAATTATAAATTTATGAGTTAATTTTAATCAAAGATATTGGATGAATAATAATATTATGACAGCGAATCCCTAATCAAAAAGGATAAACTAACTAACGCAAATTGTTTTGTTATCCGCTCCTATTATTCTTATTTTCCCTTAATGAACAATTTCCATGCGTACCGTAAGTCAAAATTAGTTCAAATGAATCTTAGGGATACAACTTGGTATAGAGGTAAATTGCGTTAAATCATCATATTTTAGGTGCCCAACACACACCTGTTCTGTGTCAGTACTTATGCGGAACACCCTGTATATACACATTGTTTTTATATATATATATTTTTAATTCTTTTATATTTCAATTGTTTTAACGACCTAACATATATGTGTTGTATATATAACTTTTAAATGTTGACTATTATGTAAAAGTTTGTTCCATTATTTATATGAAATATTTACGTATTTTCAGACTTGATATTGGAATATCCTCTTCCCACTAACCTCATCCACATAAATTTAGAACAAAAATTGTTGCTAATAATCGTAAAAAGTTAATAAAAAGCGTCTGAAATTAAATAACATGTTCGTTCTTATATACTTACAGACGATGTAAAAAGCGTTTCTGTTTGTTTATCGTTCAGTTCTATTTAGAGTAAAAAATCCAGTAAAAACCATCACAAAATAATAAAGAATATTTTTAAAAAAGTTGTATAAATATCTCTTTGTAAATAATTTTTTATGTATAAAACCAGGACCTAAAGGGTTACGAGTCCTTTTAAACTTGTGTAAGTGAAGTGATAAAGCCAGGTTCGTGCGATACAGCTACAATATCGACGTGTGTAGAATATATTAATAACTAGGCTGCGACACAGATGACATCTAGACATTAAATTTAGTAGCAAATTAGGTCCAATCAAAAATTCTAATTAACCTTATAGATTATCGATTTTTTTTTTCAAGATTTATACTTAGACATTTTAAAATTGCAGTAAAAGATTTAGAAAAAGCTAAAGTATAAACAAAGAGAAGCCATATTGTTTAATCCGTTTGCTAATAATTACCGAGACATTGAAATGTCTTATTTATATTGCTGACAAATTCTGTTTGGTTTTAGTTAAAATATTTCAAGTCTTCAATTTCTAAAGTAATATTTTTTAATCACGAACTTTTTGTTTTAAGTATTACCTAACATTCTTCCAAGTGTGGACGTATTTACCAGCTAGCAATCTTAACAACAGTTAACAGAAATCGAAGCCGTACTTTCGAGACATTATAGACATTAAGTGACACAAAAAATACACCAGTTAGAAAAATAAAACCACAGATATTAATATAATTATTCAAAAATATTGTGAATTCGATATGTTAGAGGAAGAAAGACATAAATAATTGACTTATCGTAATGTTCCTTTTACAGTTTTATATAGGGTGGTTCTTCAAGTAACATTTTTTAAAATGAGGTTTCCATAATAAATTTGGTTTTTTAAAATCGCACTAACGTTTTGAAAAATGTCACGTAGTTAATTATACTTTATCATATTTCCGTTTTAATCATTGATATGTCTACCTCTCGAACATATCGAGTTCTATACAGTCATTATCGAACATCAGTGAAGTAACTACGCGAAATCTCTAAGTCTGTAAGGATCCTGAAATTCTTCAATGACTTCAGTCAAAGTTCCAAATGAGTAAATCGTAAATCTCTATAATTTTAAGTAAAGATATCTACACCACACTTTGTGTCAAACCGATAAATACTTTATAAGCTCTTATGTGCTATTTTCAGTCAATTTGACGATAACATAGGAAAAGGAAGACACTCTATTGCACACTACTAGCTAACTATTTGAAGATACTCGAACGGGTTCGGCGGGGGTGAGAGGACTATTTGCACTAGATGGTGTAAGGTTACTTTGGGCCATCATTTTTTGGCGCACTTCACGAATTTTTAACTGCAAACTCGTTTTTGTGGGAAAAATATCAGAATGTTGGGCTTGAAACGTCGAAGTGGCTTGAGATGACGGGAAAAGGGACTGTTCTTGAAATAATTGCATCACTAATTGACGCCTTTGTTCCAACGTTTTCCGATGACCTTTCTCAGTGTCTCTCGATGTGCCTGGCGTCCTTGGCGTCCTAGGGGAAGTACCTTCCTCCATTTCATTTAATTCAGCTGAAATAATTTGATTCACTTATTTATACTGCAAAAAAAACAGTATTCTGTTTTTGATTGTTAGGATTGGGTCTAAGGTGTTAATGCAGGATGTTAATGTTAATACAGGATGTTTCATATTAACATTTTGCTAAATAACGCTGGATATTACTTGATTAAATTCACAAAATAAGCATCTTGTAATTCAATACATGCTTTAAGCCTTTTACTTAATGACTCTTGACAAAAAAAGTGGTATGTTAATTTTTAATAATCTCGACAGCTTCTTGAATTTTTGGCCCATAATTCGTCGCGTGTATCTTTATGGTAGTTGAATATACTATAGTTGTTATATAACCCCAAGGGAAATTCTCCAAGGGATTTATACTGTAACAACGAGGAATTACCGAGGGAATTCACTTCCACGTCCTATCCAGCAATGACGAACAACTAAGGGAAAATAGGTGGGGCTTCATCTTGCATCAACCGCATACATATCTTGCCACAAATCTGACGGTAAATCATCATCTATTATTTTTAAGAAATTAAATATAGGATACCATTTAAATTGGGTGGCAGTTCTAAAGCTCCTAAAAATATATCACCATACTGAAAATGTCTTTCTTTTGCTGAATTTGAATTTTCCATATGCCAAGAGTGTGCAATGTTAAAAAAAATTTCTGCTTTATAAATCCTATGTAACAAATTTTGTACTGGCATAAAATCGAAGGGACACAGGTTTTTTAATCTCTAAGGAGGAATGATTAGCGCCAACAGGTTGCTGATAAACGTCGTATACTCATTTCGGGATTCTCGGCAATCTTAACCAAAATTTCGTCCTCTTGCTTAACAGAAATTATTTTTCGACTTCTAATATGACTATTAAAACGAAATTAACCAACCTAATGAACAGATTTTAAAATAGTTTAGTTTTTTTAATAAAAAACTGAAGAGGACAATATTATTAGGAAGACTCACCTGGTGGCTGTCTATCTGGGATCTGGAATTCTTGGGGGTCCCACAGGTTTTTCTGGCGAAGCGGAACACCGAAGAACAAAAAACTTTTGTCTTGGTCAAACGGACCTATTAGCGCTTCAACTATTTATGATAAATATCGTCATAAAACAATAAATGAAAGAAACTACGCGTAAATACCTAATATTTTTTGTTTAAAATTACTTTGGTATCGTAAAGGTTTGAAATATAGAGGGTAACTGGCGCCCCTCTACTGTGGAATATGGTCCTCGACACCCTCTTCAGCCGCCTCAATAATGACAGTCACTACACAATAGCATATGCAGATGACCTGATCATTCTGCAAACAGGAAATTTTGAGAACATACTCTGCGAAAGAATGCAAGTAGCTCTAAAAATTATAGAACAGTGGTGCAAGGACCATTCACTGTCTATCAATCCTAAGAAGACAGAAACGTCCTTTTCACAAGAAAAAGGATGAAAATGGAATTAAAACCTCCAGAACTCCTAAACATAAAACTAAACTTTGCAACAGAGGTGAAGTACCTAGGTCTCACCTTTGATAGCAAGTTAACATGGAAGTAGTATTTAGAAAACAGAGTTAAAAGAGCATACATTGCTTATGAACAATGCCGCCGTACCGTGGGGCACTCCTGGGGTTTCTCCCTCTACCTTAAGATGGATCAAAGGTCACGCCACATCGAAAGGTAACCGTCTTGCCAAATACTTTTTGGACCTGGCCCTTCTATCGGCCTGACAAAATCGGTAGTGACAGACCTAATCAAAGAACATCCCCTTGTGAAATTCAAGGAAAGATGGGATGAAACAAGAAACTGCAGAGTTGACAGGGAGCTCTTAAGTTATCCTGACAATACTGCAGCAAAAAAATACTTGACTATGACTAGACAGAATCTGCGCCTAGTCACAGGCATTCTGACTGGTCATTGCCAAGTACGAAAGCATCTCCATATCATAGGGTTGTTAGAATCCGCACTCTGCAGAGGGTGCGAACAAGAAGATGAGACCATCGAGCAAATCCTTTACGATTGCTCGACGCTCTCATTTATTAGAAGATTTGTGTTCGGCGAGTATCGGCTAACACCGGACGATATAAGAGAAGCACCTCTTGGCGACATTGTCAACTACATTAAATCGTGCCTATCATTTTAGGTGGATGCACAATGGGCCTAAGTAGGCCTAAGTGCCGTGGGGGTAACCCACCCTCCACACGTTACAGATACAGATCGGCGATCTCTTAGTTTAATCTCAAAATTACTTTTTTTACTTTTAAATAATTTAATTACATGTTAAAAGAATATACATATATATATACATATCAAAGAAAAATAAAATAATTCAACACTACCGAGTCTACCCGAGATTTTTCGTGCGGGCCGCAAGGGACCATGGAAGACAAGTCTGCCTGTTAGACTTATCTTTAATTTGAAATTGTTGATATAGCAACCCTGACTCCTTACCTTAGTGGTATTATTGGGGGATTATGTTTATTTTGGGTAATGGAAATGTATTTAGGGATGTTCCCTGAAAAAGCTAGAAAAAAACAGGATTGTCTTTATATGTGCGTTTGTATGTAATAACAGCCCACAGGCTAAGTGACCGTATGGCCTTCCGTCAAAGCAACGATCGCGAATGTAATATTTCCCAGTCGTTGCCTCCACCGTCGACTAACCGCGTGTTATTTAGTAAAATATTAATATTTTGACGTCCTGAATATATCTTTTGAAACACCCTGTATAGAAAGTGAGTTAATTTGTTTATAAGTACGCTAATTCAAAATGTCTCATTTCACGTTCCTCAGGATCAATCTGATTTAACTTTAACCACGTTAGGTATTGAAAACTCGAAGAAGGACCCAGTTCAAACGAGAAACAATCGGTTTTAAGGAAGCCAATCTATTCAGATATGTAATTCAGTACTTACCCCTAACATTTTCAAAATCAGGTCCAAAAAACTGATTTCCAACAATGGGTTTGGCCGATGCAGCTGATTTCGGAACACTCTGGGGCGTTTCGGCTTCAGATTCCTCTTCAACGGACGTTCGATGGCTGGCGGCAGTGAGTGGCGGCCGTTTCTTGTTGTAAAACAACCCTGGACTGGGTATCGAGATAGCGCTCGGCGACTGACCATCCTCAGGTTTGAATTGCGGCAGGGCGGTGAACTTTTTTTCGAAGTTCACCTGCTCCAATACCCTGCAAAATGACAGAAAACTTCTATAGGCATTAAGAAATTCAATTAGTGTTCTTAAAAAGTACCTATCCATTCCGTCTTCGATCGAACGCTTGAAGAAGCTCTTCTTGGCCGTAGGTGACATCAAGTCGCTCTGGTTGGGGTCTTCAGGCACTGGAGTATTGGTGGAGACCGGCATACTGTCCAGGCTCCCTTGGGAACTCGTTGAAACGAAAGCAGCTATAAGGGAATTTAGAATTTATGAAAATGTGAATTATTTCAGTTATTCCAACCTGAAAATGCCTACAACAATCTACTTATTCAGAAAGTTTGCAAATGGAGGAGGCTAACCTTAAAAAATATCCCGTACATTTGCTGCCTTGTAAAGGAAAAATGCTCCAAAAACACGTTATGAAATGAAACCATTTAATTTACCAATTCAAAAGTTGTTGAAAATGATATTTACACTTTTTAATTATTAAGATGAGTTGCTGCGTCAATTATTTTTATTATCTAAAAATGCAACTTATTTTACTTCTTACCTAACTTTTAAGAGTATCTTTCACATTGTGTTTCTGAGGTAAAATTTCCTTAAAGCTCAGTGTAAGAGTTGAAGGAATAAAATTACTTATATTTTATAAATGGGTAACCATTTTTAGACCTGATCCTGACGAGTATTCCACAAGTTTGCTCCTAATATGCTCCTGAACATTAACCTGCGCCCAAATGTAAGTCCTGAGTATCAAAAGAGATTGGTAAATATAAAATTAAAAAAATAAAAATATCACATATTCACAAAAGTACCTGAAAGAAAAATTTATTAGTTGAATAGTAAAATTCATTATTTTAGATAATGAGTAATAAGTACATTTAAGACAGTATCAATTATAAATGTTGTCTATACAAAATCTGTAACATAAAGTTAGAAAAGCAATTATTATCTTATATAAGAGTATATTATTATGTATTTAGGAAGATTATTATCATTATATAACATTTTAACAGTAACATTAAATAATCCAGTCAGTTTACATATAAAACATTAGGTATATTTATGTACAAACGTGAATCTTTAATAACATATTTCTGATTTTTAATTTTTTACTTTGATGCTATCTTGGATTTACATGCTAAAGCGATAAATTGTAATTTATTCGAAATAATTCAACGTATATTAACCAACTATCTTCCGATTGGTTATGGATTAATTTTTTTTGTAATCTCGTCGATGTAAAAAGAGGAAAACGGTACATAACTTTAATTTCTTTTTTGGTACATATCTAAATAGAGATAAAATTAAGGAAAGCACATAGATATGTGAATAATTAAGACGTTTTATTGGTTGGTTTCTGATTAGTTAGGTTAGTTACTATGGTTACAAATCTGGTTACTACTTCTACTTTTCCTAACTGGTAAGACCTATGTCGCAGATTTGTTTGCAATCTCAAGTTCAGAATCGCATATTTAACTATTTCTGTCTATATGCTAGGGTTAGGGAGCTCGCATGTAGATATAAATCACATAAACCCAAAACAGGATTCTGTACAATAGTCAGTGACACTAACCTTCAAATTTTGTACAAAAACAGTAAGCGGTTTCATAGTGATTGTCTGTTAAAAAAATTCTTAGATATCTTGTGTGTATAAATAAATTATTAGAATATTTTTTTCTAATCGGAAAATAAGTTGTGGGCCAAGTTAAACACATCCAACAACTTTAAAAGTATGCATTAAACATTATTTTTTCTTACAGTATATATTATCGTTCTACAAGTCGTGTGTTTAAATAAATTATTATTGGAACATTTATTTTTATTCATAAAAAAAGTTGTGGTCCAAGTTATACAAATCCGACAACTTAATTTGTTTTTCTATAATACCTAAATATTACACATTGGTCGCTACAAAAGTTAATTGATGTAAATTAAATAGTTCAGCTATACTAATTAAAGGCGTGGTCACCAAACCTATAAATATTATAACATCAGTGGTGATCATGGGCGCCGCCACACGAGGGCAAGGGGGGACGTCTGCCCGCTTTTTGGCCCTGTCTATAAAACTTCCCCCTGGAAATTTTTTGAACGATGCCCATGGTGTTGATATACCACAATAAAATTGGCTCTCTACTTGAAACGACAGAGTGTAGGCAAAGAGAGGGGTACGCGTCGAACCTTTCTAGTTAAAATAGTTGCTTGATGGAACACAAACCACAAATTGACATTGATAGGCGTTTGATTTTGTTTTTGTGAAATATGACTTAATTTAGTAATACGAGATGTGGCTATTTAAAAACCGGACTGGTAAGAAAAAATGATTTATTGAAAACATTTTACAATCTAGCTTTTATATCCTTTAATATACTCCCCTTCTCTATCTATATACAGCTTCATACGCCTCTGCACAACAGGTCTGCTGTTTTTTTCTTCACGTTCTTGACAGATTGAAAATGGGTACCTTTCAACGCGCTTTTTATGTTTGGGAATAGGAAAAAGTCACAGGGTGCCAAATCCAGCGAATACGGAGGATGATCGAACACTAAGATGCGTTTACTGGTCAAAAACTACTTAACGGACAATGCGTTATGAGGTGGCGCGTGATCCTGATGCAGAATCCACGAGTCATCTTTCCACAGATCCGGTCTTTTTTTTCTCACTTGTTCTCTCAGTTTAGCCAGAACCTCGACGTAATAGCGCCGATTGACTGATTTGATTGCCTTACTTGATGTTTTTGGTCAGTTTTCGACTTCTTCCTGACCCTCGCTAAACCTTTTTTGCCACTCGAATGCTTGAGTACATGACATGCAATGATCCACATAAACTTTTGTTAACAGATTTTTTTCAGTTTAATAAGAAATTTAAGATTCAAGCGCTGCTCGATTTTTAAACTCTTCAAAATTCTGGCAACCTAACGTGGTAGTGTTCTACTCATTTAAGGCTTGAAAAAAAACTAAGCGGTCAATTTGATTGAAACTGGTCTAGTTAGAGAGAGGAGGGTTCAAAGATCTTATTCACCGAGAGCCGCTACGTTCTGATATTTACGGTCAGAAAGCGCAGTCCGGTTTTTAAATAGCCAAACCTCGTGTATATGGTTTTGGTTTTTAATATTAAGATTGATTGGAACCACAAGTTATAATAAAAAAATCAAGTGCTGAATATGGATTCTTGCACCTTAAAAGATGCGGATTAGACGAATATCCCGTTGTTACACGTATAACAAAATGATTTCCTAGGATTGAATAGATGGTTCGACTTTTATTTTCAAATAAGAACCTATTGAAAAAAATAAGACAAACAGAACATGTTTTTAAAAATTTTATACACCTTCCTGATTATCAATAAAGATTTCATTTTTTCTTCCAATTTATAATGGTGGAAAAAGGATTATTAATAAACAACTACAGTTTTGTCACAAATATTTATATTATTTACATCATTAATTATTAACATACTAATTGGTATATATTATGTCCTTTAAAAATCATGAATTTTGATCTAATTTTTCCTATAATTATTCGCTGTTCATGAATTCAGATGAACAATTTCCGTTACTCCTTGTTCGTATTACATCCTACAGAGAAGCTTGCTTACCTAAAATACACAATTATATTATATATAAGGCAACAAAATGATTTTAATTCACTTTACATGTTCAAAACTGCTTGCAAGACTTTCATATTGGATTTTGATATCCATCAAATCATCTCGTTTAATTATATGTGACCAACGTTGTTTTATTTGAGGTGATAAATCCTTTAAACTACACTAAAACATATTAAACAAAAATCAGTCGAATGCAATGAATTTTCTTTTCATTACTTACCTTTTTAGCCTTATTACTATATTTCCGATGTCTTCAAATAAAACGAGCAACTATAGTTAAAACTTAACACTAAGTAAAAAATAATACTAAAATCACACACTACACAGCGTTTTTGTTCTAATTTCACCCTCAAAAGGACAATGTTTTCGTTATTTAAGCTAATAATGAACAAAAAACTACTTCGACAAATTTTTAAACAAAAGTCTGTGTACCAGAACATTGGAATGCCTATATCGCAACCATATTTCTCTTTCTCTTATGTCTGATAAGAGGGAGAACTGCAAAGGATCCTTGTAAGTATCAAGCCAAGTATAGTTAGTTTGGAAAACATTCTATTTTTATTAATTTGGTAAGAATCAACAAAATCTAGATAAAACAACAAGAAAATGACAAAAATGTGGGCTTTGAATGAATAACAGGAAAAATCAGATAAAGCAGATTCAAGATTTAATGAAAATAACACTACCAACAAGTATCCCATTCAAATAGCGACTGAAGTTTAGAAGCACCAACAAAATTTAACAATGTAAATTTAACTACTCCAGTTTCAAAAGCCAGCCATAAACTCTCCATCCGCTGTGTTGGTAAGGACCGATTCCACCGTTGTGTTAAACGAAGTTTAAAATGACATTTTTACATTAACAATGTCATTTTAATCTCCGTTTAACACAACGGTGGAATCGACCCTTAGCCAATTAAGTTTATAATGTCTTCAGTACATAAATAAAATCAAATTATTAATTGTATATAATGATGTGCAAAAAATGATCAGCCCATAGACTAATAATTTAATTAAATTAATTACCTTCTTGTCAAATTTTGGAAATGTATCCCTACGTTATTTTCTGTACCTGTGAATTCAAATGATTTCGTTTCTACTTTACTCAGGGCTCTTCTTCTAAATCTATCACAATTATATTCAAAAATAACACCGTCATTATCACAGTGAAAATTAACACAATTTTCGTAAAATATCACAATTTCAGCGTTGTTTTCACATTCTAAAACATTATGGTCATCAAATACAAAAATATCACTGTTATTATAACATCACAAACTTTATTTTCAGATAATATTATTACAGATTAATCATTATAGAAGTCGTGGGATATAATAAATCATTATTAGAAGTGAAACAGAGTTCTTATTTAACTTTTTAGTTTTGACTTTCATTCTTGATATTTTTTATATATTCTGCTTTTTTTCCTGAAAATTCATAAAATCCCAAGAACGTTTTTAGGTTTTAAGAGAGTAATTTTTTTATTCAGTTTTGCAATACATAGTATACATAAACATATAATTATTGGAACATTTATTTATACGCATAAAAAAAAGTTGTTGGCCAAGTTACACACATATCCAACAACTTTAGAATTATGTATTAAAATTTTTTTTTTTTGTAAAGTAGAGTACCCTCTGTGC